GACAGGAAGATGGTTGTGAGTTTGAGACCAGCCTGGGCTATATAAAGTGAACACAAGGCCAGCCTGAACTGCATAGTGAGACTCTGTCTCAAAAAAAAAAAAAAAAAAAAAAAAAGGAATGAAGTTGACTTTGAAAAACTGACAAAACAAAACAATCCTAATAGGATATAAGACTCTGAATTCTGTGAGTCTTTTTTTTTTTTTTTTTTTTTGTGGTACCAGGGATTGAACTAAGGACCCTGTGCTTGCCAGGCAAGTGCTTATTCTACTGAACTATCTCCCCAGCCTGCGGATAAGCCTCATGCTTACACCATTCCTCAAAACACAGGATGGGGCCAGTGATGATGGCGGACACTTATAATCCCAGCATTCCAAAGGCTGAGGAAGGAGGATCACTGTGAGTTTGAGGCCAGCTTGAGCAACACAGTGAGTTTAAGGTCACTCTGAGTTACATAAGATCCCGTCTAAAAAAACGAACCACCACCACAACAAAACAAGAAAGAGAGCTGGTAAGGTGGATGATGTAGCTCCAAACTACAGTAATCAATAGGATTCAATCTCTAGCACAGATTGGTGCGTATGTGGGAGCCATTGGGGAAGGCCCAACTCTGACAATGAAATAAATCCATGAGCTCAAGAAACACCAGCTATTGGCAGGAGTGGCGGCACACACCTGTAATCCCAGCACTCATGAGATGATAGAAGGAGATTCGAAACTTTGAGCCCAGCCTGGAAAAAGTAAAGTGACTTAAAAATTATAAAAAGGGCTGGGAATGCAGCTTGTATGTATGGAGGGCTGGGGTTTGATCCCTAGCATTGTGGAGAAAAATAAATAAAATAAAAAGCTAGCCCCTCTACCCTCTAAATACTGGCTCTAACAGGTAAATTCCAACACAAAAAGGTTATAACAAGAACAAATTGTAGTTCAGTGTCGTGAAACATCATTTTGTCATCAAAGTTAAAAAAAAAAAAAACACTAGTGGGCCGGCCAAATAGTTCAGCAGATTAAAGCACCTGCAAGCAGGTGCAGGAGCTGGGGGTTCAATCCTGGGCCTGACATGCCAGCCCTGCCCCTGGGGCGTGCTGAGATGGCAACTGAGACTGGGTGCGCCTGTAATCCCAGCACTTGGGAGGCTGTCAAGAGGAGAATCACTACAAGTCCAATCTAGTAGTGAGACCCTACACCCTGTAGACAACAACAAAAAACCCACTTAATTCCATTCTCTATGCACTCTGGTGGTGGTACACATCTATAATCCCAGCACTTAAGAGGCTGAGGCAGGAGGATCTCTGAGAGTTTGAAGCCATCCTGGGCTACAAAATGAAACCCTGTCTCAAACTCAAAACACACACATACACACACACACACACGGCTTATATATAGGTGTAGCTCAGCAGTATACTACTTGTCTAACATGCATGAGTCCTGGGTTTAATCCCTTGGAAAAAGGAAAAAAAAACAAACAACACTTCAAGAGTCAGTTGTGGGCTGGAGAGATGGCTCAGTGGTCTAAAGCACCTACTTGAAACAAGCTTGGCTAAAGCACAGGGACCGCGGTTCGATCCCCAGCACCACATGCCAGCCAGTCCGCCCCCTGGTGGGCTGAGCTGGCCACACACACACACAATAAATAAATGTAATAAATAAAAATAAATAAATATTAAAAAAAAAAAAAAGAGTCAGTTGTGGTGGCACATGGCTGTGAAAATGTGCCACAGAACAGCACACAGATCACCATGGATCACTTATGGGTTTGAGATCAGCCTTGGGCTACATGTTGAGTTCAAGGCTAGCTTGAATGAAAGACTGTTTTATTTTTATTTTATTTTTTTTTAATTTTTATTTATTTATTTATTAACATTTATTGTGTGTGTGTGTGTGTGTGTGTGTGTGTGTGTGGCCAGCTCAGCCCACCTGGGGGCAGGGCTGGCTGGCATGTGGTGCTGGGGGATTGAACCGCAGTCCCTGTGCTTTGCCAAGCTTGTTCCAAGTAGGTGCTTTAGACCACTGAGCCATCTCTCCAGCCCCTGAAAGACTGTTTTAAATGAACAAACAAAAAACCCCTACAAGAGTGGTGGTGGACAACAGGGATAGGCCACATACATGCCAAATCATGCAGAGCCCAAAACAGATTCCATTTCTCTAAGAGAGCTGTGTGGCCACAGCTAGTTCCAAAACTACTCTGAACCATATCATGTAACAAATGTTTTCTGACTCACTGCAGTGGCCCAGGCAGTGTTCAGTGCTACAGTCCTACCAAACCTAGCCTTCCCCTTCTGCAATGGACATAGAGCCTAGCAAACACAATCCCAGTAAGTAAAACAAATTATAATGATTGTGAAACACAAAATGCTTCAGAGGGGCTGACGTAGTCAAGGACTCTGGCTACATCCAGGGCTGCAGCAAGAACATTCTTTTTTTTGGCGGAACTGGGGATTGAATTCAGGCCCTTGTGCTTGCCAGGCAAGTGCTTTTCTACTAAGCCATCTCCTCAGTCCCAACAAGAATATTCTAAGTACTAGATGCAGCTGGTGCACAGATTCTGAAATGGGCAGCATGAGCAGCTGAAGGACAATGCCAGTATGAACAATCAGTGTTTAGTGTGTCACTGTGGACAATGAATACACAGGAGAAAACAGGACAAGATGAACAAACAAGGCCACCTCAGGAGGGACTGGGGTGGCACACAACTAGGGCAAGCACCAGAGCAGGAACAGAGCCTGGCAGGGGGCACAGTAACACAGGTGTTGTCACAGGGAGGCTGCTACTCAGTTGCTCCACAGGACATTGGCCACACCCAAGCAGCCATTCCTGGGAAAGCAGCAGACCACTACAACTAATCTTTAACAATTTAACCAGGCACCATGACATGGCAACCCTGTTTCTGAGTATCAGTCCTCAAAAACTGAAAACAAAATCTTAACTGTGGTTGTATATTATTTACAATCTAAAGGTCACTGACAGGGAATAAACAACAAAACGCAGTCTATGCATACAATAGCATATCCTTCAGCCTTAAAAATCAGAAAACTGTTGTTTTATGACATGGATGGAGCTTGAGAATATTATGCAAAGCGGAATAAGCCTGTCACTGAAGACAAATATCACATTCCTCCATTTATCTGAAGTAATGAAACCCTCAGAAGTAGAATGGTGGTTGGTAGTGCTGGGACAGGGAAGAAAGGGGAGTTAGGGCTGGTGAGATGGCTCAATGGTCTAAAGCACCTACTTAGAACAAGCTTAGCAAAGCACAGGGACTGCGGTTCAATCCCCCAGCACCACATGCCAGCCAGCCCTGCCCCCTGGTGGGCTGAGCTGCCCCCCCACACACACATAAATAAAATAAAATTTAAAAAAAAAAGAATGTTTAAAAGGAAGGGGAGTTATTCAATGGGTAGTTTTAGATTTGCAAGACCAAAATTTTCTGGACATTCATTGTCCAAAAGTATGAATATTCTTTTTCTTTTGGTGGTACCAGGGATTGAACTCAGGACCTTGAGCTTGCCAGGCAAGCACTTATTCCACTGAGCTATCTCCCCAGCCCCTTGAATAGTCTTAATACTACCTACCGTATGCCAATGTAAAAATGGTGAAGATGATAAATTTTGTGGTATAAGTTTTTTACAATCAAAAAAGAAACTTGGGCTGGAGATATAGCTCAGTGGCATGGTACACATCTGGCAAGTGCAAGGTCCTAGGTTTGATTCCCAGTATCAAAAGGACAACAATAATGAACTAAATTTAACCAGATAGGGTAAAATGAAGTATCTGTGGACAGGCCCCAGGGTAACCCTAGATTGACTGTGGCAGGAGAAACTGAGTTAGATGCTGTGCTGAGCATTGGGAGGGTGGGCTGGCAGGGAAAAACACCCAACCCTAAGGGCCTGGCAGGGTGTGCTGAATCAACTGGAAAAGGACTATGCTTTGGCAAAGAATTACACCACTAGGCTGCAGATATAGCTCTGTCTAAAGTGCTTGCTTAGTGTAAGGTCCTGGCCTTGATCCCCAGCACCAGCTCCAAAAAGCAATAACAATAAAACTAAATTTAAATTATATGTAAACATGAAAAGGGAGAAAATTTGAGTGGGGTGAGATCTGGGCTGTAGATGTGGCTTTGGGTATTTTGCCTTGCTTTTTGAGGCAGGGTCTTCCTGGTAGCCCAGGCTAGCCTCACACTATGTAGTCCAGGTTACCCTTGAACTCCCTGTCCTACCTCAGCTTCAGGAGGACTGTGCTTACAGGTGTTGTGCCATCAAGCAGCTTTGGGAAGGGCTACCGTCAGGCTTACTAGCACAGAAGGACAAAGCCTGAGATGCAACAGCCTCAGAAGCTGCTAGCCAGCAGCTTCAGGGGCCAAATAGATTTAGAGCCCGGGGCCCTTCCCTGGACAGTCCTCCAGAGGTCGCTGGCCATTTTGCCAAGGCCGCAGCGGCCTCTGGCGGCATGCAGAAGAACAGCGCCTGAGCGGCCACTCACTGAGGTGCGACCCCTGAACAGACGCACAGGCTCGCTGGGGTCCCCGGTGCAGAGCGCGAACGTACACAGTGCGTAAGCTGACTTGTCCTCGAAGCCGGCCAGGAGCTGGTGTAGTCCTGTGGGCAGAAAAGGCGAGGGTTCAGCGTGTCCATGCTCCCCAGCATGCTCCCTCAGAAACCCTCCCGCCCGGGTGGGAAGGGCACACCCAAACCGGATTAATGTGGATGGGAGGGTGGCTGTTAGGGCTTCACTCTAGCCCTCAAGAGGAGGCTGAAATTCTAGACTGCGGATGAGGTTTTGTTAAAACAGAAAACCAGTCAACATAGTGTGGACTTGTTTGATACCTACAAAAAGGGAAGCAGTTGTAAAATGTACTCTGGTAGCTTGGCAAGCACAAAGCCCTGATTTCAATTCTCAAACCAAATAAAAGTACTTTGGTTACAACCAAGGATCTCCCCAGCTAATTCTACAGCACTGAGAAATTAGTTGGAGGTGTAGGTGTAGCATCTGCTCAGCAGGCTGGGGGCCTGGGCTCAGTCCCCCTATCCAGACTAAAATCAAGATTAAAGGGTGGGGGGGCCTGCCGGTTAGCTCAGTTATTCAAGCACCTGCTCATGAAAATGCATTCAGGTGCAGGATACGATCCCCAGCTCCACCTGCCTTACCAGACCCGCCCTTAAGGTAGACTGAGCAGGCTAAAACAAAAAAACAAAAACAAAAAATTTAGGGGCTGCAGAAATAGCTCAGTAGAATAAGCACTTGCCTGGCAAGCACAAGATCTTGAGTTCAATCCCCAGTACCACAAAAAAATAAATAAAAACAAGATTATGCGTATTACCAGTCATACTTGTATATGTTTATGTTTACACAAAATAGAAATTGCACTGATAAGCTGAATGATGGAGGGTCATTGCCTTTTATTTAAAAACTAACAAATAATGGCATTATATTGATGGGGGTCAGCAATTTTTCTTTATTTTTTTTTATTTTTTTGTGGTAGTGGGGATTAAACCCAGACCTCCACATTGAGCTACATCTCCAGACCTTTTTCACATTTTTATTTTGAGTCACAGTCATGGTAAATTGTGGGCTTGAACTTGGAACTCCTGCCTCTGCTTCCCACAGTGCTGGGATCACAAGTGTGCCGCATCATGCTTGAGATCACTATTCTACCACCTTCCATATTTGACATACTCTGCATTTTTTAAAGCACATTTCGAGGGAACACTCTGGATGTGAGCACAATTTGACTGCACATTTATTATTCTACTGGCTGCCAGGGTTGGTTCAGGCAATCTGGCTAGCTAAACAGGTATCCCCTTCCTTCCTCCATGCTGTGGGTCCCTCCTGAAGTACACCCTTTCCCCACTGAGAATCTTCTTGGGTCTGGGATATACAATTAGCTGCACTCTCCTACTAGAACCTCCAAGTAGCTCCTAGGAGCAACAGTGTGGCCTGCATCTGTGGATGGCTGGGAACAAACTGCCAGGGCCTAGGAGGAGTATCCCCTTCCCCTAACCTGCAGCCCAGGCTGTGGTTGAAGCAACTGCAGGCAGTCACTAAGGGCAAGTCCTCCTCGAGATCCAGAATCAACTACAGCCACCTGGTCCTCGAGCTCACACCTGCCAGCTCATCCCAATGCTCTCCGGTGCAAGTTGAGGTTACAGAAGAGAGGCTCAATGGTGTCAGCAAGAATATCTGACTTCCTGGTCATAGGTAAAGAGCTGGGCATTCTCAATTCCCAACGGAGCCAAGGGAAGACAAAAATGGGAATAAATATTACCTTCAGGCTTTAACTTCTCCAAAAACCATTTTCTGCAAAAGAAATAAAGGAGTCAGAGGTCTTGAGCAGAGGGATCTTCCTACAGGATCCAAGCTCCAGGACATCCAAGAGTAAATGAGAAGGAACGTCTCAAATCAAAAGCTACAGAAATAATCTAGGCTGAGGGTGTGGGGTGGAACAAATGCTTATCATCATGTGCAAGGCCTTGAATTTAATATCCAATACCAAAGAGAGAAAAAAAAAAAAAATCACCTAGTAGGAAAAAACCAAATGGTGAGAAACATGTAATACATAGGGAAAAAAAAAAAATCAGTAAATAAATGAAGGGTTCGGGTCCGGAGAGATAGCTCAGTAGAGTAAGTGCTTGCCTGGCAAGCGCCGGGTCTTGAGTTCAATTCCCGGTACTGCAAAAATAAAACAAGCTTTCCTTTCCTCTGGAGCTGGGGAGATGGCTCAGTAGAATAAATGCTTGCCTGGCAAGCACAAGGGCCTGAGTTCAATCCCCAGTTCTGCAAAAAAAAAAAAAAAAAAAAAAAAAAACAAGGGTTCAACCTCACTTGGTAATCAGAGAAATGCAAAATCAAACTACATGTGATGACATTATATCCTCCAAATTACAAAAATTGAAGACAGGGTCTCATTATATAGTTCAGGCTGGCCTTGAACTCACTATGTAGCCCAGGCTAGCTTCAAACTTGCAGTGACCTTCCTGTTTCTCTCTGCCTCCCAAATGCCACCACACTGGGCTCAAACTGTAAATTTAAAAACTCACACTCAGTGATAGAAAGGATATGAAGCAATACACGCTGAGGATATACATATATACTGGTAAATGAGCTAGTCATCCAAAAGTTTGAGACAATCAAAACCAGCAATAGAACTTGTGTATGTATGTCCCAACCTCAAGGTACTTCAAATTGGGTTATTTGTATTCTACAGACACACAAAAGACCTTCTAAGGGGGACTCAGGGTACTGGATAATTGTAAGGAAATCAGTTTTCAGATCTTAACTTTCTTATTCTCTTTCCTGAAACTGATCTGTACACGAATGTATCTTTGAAATTGAGTAGGTTTTCAACTTCTCTCTCCACTTACACAATTATGTTCTCACACTTTACAAAAGAAAAGCACACCTCTCCTGTATTCCTAATCCTTTTCTGGGACAACCTAAATACTGATGTTGATGCCAAGACAGTGAATGATCTACAGTATCAGGTAACTAATCCTTTTGCATTCCAGTGGTTTGTGGCAGAGGCCCCACAAAGGAGTTCATAGGGACACTCACATGTAGGGGCCAGGAAGGCCACCAAGGGCATTGAAGCACAGACAGGTATCCTCCACCAGGACAGGCCCCTGCACCTGCAACACAAAGACATGTAGCCCTAAGACCTGTACCCACAGGGAAGCCCCATCTCTGCCCAGAGCCCCCAGGCCACCTAGGCTGGGGCCAATCCCATAGCTAGCTGAGATCTGCAGCAGATGATTGTCATGGTCACTGATCCAGGTCCATGTTCATTTTAAGACAGGGACACACAGCATTGGCAAGCATGCAGCTTGTTCCAGACCAACACCCAGGAACCCTCACACTGTGCCCCTCAGTTTACAGAGATGTGTGTGGAACTGTGTATGTGTGTGTGTGGCGGGGGGATATGTACACGTGGATTTATGCGCCTGAGCCGGGGAGGCTGCTGGTGGACAACGGCAATCCATTTATGGGGACGTAAGTGGTCTGGAGGAGACACTAACAGTTACGGTGGGGACAGGAAGGCAGTGTCCAAAGGCCAACATTTGAACCTAACAAGCAAGGCCTAGACAGGTCTTAAAGTCACAATAAATTACCCTTTTATGGCTCTCTGTTGTTCCCAGCAGCCCAAGGAGCACCAGGAAATGGCAGGGGATAAGTACCTGATGTGCAGCCTCACGACACTTCTGTATGGAAATTTCATCTGGCTCACCCTGGTATTCCGGCACTTATTAGGAAAACAGACAGAGTCAGGTTATGGTAGGACAGAAAAATGGAACCATCTTTTAAAAATAAAAGAAAACAGAAACATACGGTCAATTTTCTGTGCCACCAATGTGCATGGAAACTTATCTCCTAGAATCTGAATGACCTGTTTCAAAATGAAAAAATATCGATTACCAGGTGTAATTCTCCATCACTGTGTGGATTGTCATCCAACTTTCTCATGAGCTAACTCTCTGGGAAGTCCCCTAAAGCATACCAAGTCAAGCTGAGCAAGATGGCGCATGCCTGTAATCCCAACACAGGGGAGGCTGAGGCAGGAGGATCACTGAGAGGGAGAAGGAGAGGGAGAGGGGGAGGGGGAGGGGGAGGGGAGGGGGAGGGGAGGGAAGAGAGAGATCAAGTCTGTTAGCTAGCTTCACCCCAGCCTTCACCCATTCAAGCCAGTCTGCACCCATCTATTACTGCTCTGTCCCTTCCTACTTGAGGTCTCTGCATGTACTACTCCCTCCCTCACCTTATCTAGCCACTTTCTGCCTGTCTCAATGTTCTACCATCCTCCTAGGCCAGTAATGCCCCTATTTGGAGCTGCCCAAAATTCAAAAGGCCTGGGGCTGGAGAGATGGCTCAGTGGTCTAAAGCACCTACTTGAAACAAGCTTGGCAAAGCACAGGGACCGCGGTTCGATCCCCAGCACCACATGCCAGCTAGACCCGCCCCCTGGTGGGCTGAGCTGGCCACACACACACACACAATAAATAAATGTAATAAATAAAAATAAATATTTAAAAAAAAAACAAACAAAATTCAAAAGGCCTGTGAACTTGGATGGGGGAAAAAAAGCCTTTTTTTATGCCCAATAATTGAACTTTATCTACTTTTCAGTTATAAATACAGGAGGTAATAAATATTGACAGTTCTTGTGACTTTTTTTTTTTAGACAATGCCTCACTATATAGTATAGGCTGGCCTCAAACTCATGGTGATTCTTCTGCCTCAGCCTCCCCCTTGGAGTGGTGCTTTGTTTTTATAGGGTTTTTTAAATTTTTATTTATTTATTTATTTATTTGCGTGTGTGTGTGTGTGTGTGTGTGTGTGTGTGGCCAGCTCAGCCCACCAGGGGGCGGGGCTGGCTGGCATGTGGTGCTGGGGGATTGAACCGTGGTCCCCGTGCTTTGCTGAGCTTGTTGTAAGTAGGTGCTTTAGACCACTGAGCCATCTCACCAGCCCCGCATTACTTTATTTTTTTTTTAAATATTTATTTATTTTTATTACATTTATTTATTGTGTGTGTGTGTGGCCAGCTCAGCCCACCAGGGGGCGGGGCTGGCTGGCATGTGGTGCTGGGGATCGAACCGCGGTCCCTGTGCTTTGCCAAGCTTGTTTCAAGTAGGTGCTTTAGACCACTGAGCCATCTCTCCAGCCCCCCGCGTTACTTTAAAATTAAGGAAATTACATACTGCCAGATTGAACCCTTCAACACTAATACTGTGTATATATTAGATTGCAAATACTTCTAATATTTTCAGAATTGTCCTTTTTTCTTTCTTTTTTTTTGTATTTTAGGGAAGGGTCTACAGGGTGTTCAGGGTCTCACTACTAGATCAGACTCGTAGTGATCTACCTGTTTATAGCCTCCCAAGAGCTGGGATTACAGGTGTGTGCTACCGTCCCTACACACCTTATTTTGTACATTTGAAACTACTTCCTTAAGAGAGTCTACAGGCTTTATCAGTCTGTAACAAACAAGAGACAAACAGAAACTCTCCTGTTTGAGACCACGTCCAAGCCATTGTCTCTAAGGAATCTTTAACCATTCCACCTCTTTGGGGTTTTTTTTCCTGTGGCAGTGCAGGAGGTTGAACTTGGGTCCAAGGGTTCCACCACTGAGCTTTCTCCTCTGTTCCACCCTGCTCTTTAAATATAAGAAGGCCAGGCCGGGGAGATGGCTCAGTGGAATAAGCACTTCCCTGGCAAGCCCAAGGGTCTGAGTTCAATTCCTGCTTCTGCAAAAAAAAAAAAATTAAATATGAGAAGGCCATGTCAGTCAGAGGTTTGGGCTCTGGCATCCACCACTCTACATGGACTGCATTCAGGATGGCACAACCTGTCTGCCTGATCTGGCCTCACGATCCAAAGCATTCAGCAATGGGGCTCTGGTTCCTCGGAGGGCAACCTTCATCCTGGCACAAAAGTGCATCAGTACCTACAGTATAGATAAATGAAGCTTTCCCTCCTATACCTCACTGAGCTACCAAAGACATATGCAGTGGATGTCATCTCTCAGTTCACCACACGATCTCACTTCCTTGGCCAGGCTAAGTGGAGGCAAATGCCTGATCCAACCAAGGGCAATCAGAACTGATGGACAGAAAACCCACTGTCCTTCTATCAATGGGGAAGAAAGCAGAGACTCCAAAGGGACTAGGGAACTACAAAGACAGGCCAGGCTCTGGAGTGAATCCCTGGGCTCTATGGGGTACCTCAGCCTTGTATTTCCATGAGTCACCTGGTGCCTTATTACTACCAGGTCCCTATAGGCAGAAACCTGAGAGTCTGGGATATACCTCAGCAGCACAGTGTCTGCCCAGCAAGCCCGAGACCAGGAATTCACTTCCTGACACCAAAAAAAAAAAAAAAAAGGAAACATGAGATCCATTGCCTCCTTTATTCTTTTCTATTTTTCTATATATAGTGCTATGAAACAGTCATCCCATATCATTCTGTTGGCACCCAGAAAACAATCCACAACATATAGGCATGTGGGTCATCAGAAGCAAGTTTTAGGCTGGACAGATAGGTCAGCGGTCTAAGCACCTACCTGGCAAGCACAAGGGTTTGATCCCTGGTACCACATGCCACGCTGGTCCTGGAACCGCAGCGTGTAGTGTCAACCACAAAACCAGGCATGGTGGCACATGCTTATAATTACAGCACTGGGGAGGCTGAGAATGGATGCTCACTACAAATCTGAACTGTGTAGTGAGACCTGTATTCACTGAATAAAGAAGGGGGAAGAGGAGGAGGAAGCAGTAGTTGTAGTAGTAGTAGCAGTAGCAGCAGCAGCAGCAGTAGCAGCAAGCTTTAAAAGCAAAGTCTTAGCTGGGCATGGTGGAGAATGCCCATAATCCCAGCACTAGAGAGACTGAGGCAGGACTGCCATGAGCTCAGGCCAACCTGAGCTATATAACGAGACCTTGTCTCAAAGAAGAAAAAAGAAAAATGTTCCTCTGATTTCCTGTTCTTCATCTCTTTTCTCCAAGACAGAAACCCAACTAATAAAGCTAGCCTGGTCAACATTGCAAGATCAACTCAAAAAACCATTTTTTTCCCCATTTTATGTATTTGGTTCAGTATCTCAATATACAGCTCGGACTTGTAGTGATCCTCCTGTTTTCAGCCTCGCCGGTGCTGGGCTTACAGGTCATCGGCTCATCAAACTCTGGTCCCTGCCTCAGGCACTTAAGTCTTTTGAACTATCTTGCCAGCCCTCTCGGAAAAGTAAATTTAAAAAAAAAGAAATGCACATTTCTCTTTCCCAAAGCAGGTCACAGAAACTAAAATTTCTTTTCTTCCAAACAATACATAAAGCCCCAAAATATTACTCTTAACATCCTTTGCAGGGGCCAGGGAGATAGCTCAGTAGAATAAGCGTTTCCCTGGCAAGTGCAAGGGCCTGAGTTCAATCCCCAGTTCTGAAGAAAAAAAAAAAGTCCTTTGCCTTTCTGTCTTGGAGCTGGCCGTGAAGACATTCTCTAACCTATGTTGTCTGATAGCAGCTCGAAAACCCCATTTCACAAAGGAGTACATTAACAGTCTATCACAATAGTTATTAAAAAGGTATCCCTTTCAGGGAGGAATAAATGTTTCTGAGACCAAAATCAGAACAGGACTGGCTCAGACTGCTAACACTACATTCTACCCTTTTGCCTAATTACATAGTACACAGCTGTCTATGCTTCATTTAATCAGTATGAAAAGATATCTCTAGCTAAGGCTGTAGCTTATTGGTATAGTACTTGTTCTCACATCCAGGAGGCCCTGGGGTCAATCTCTGCACTTGAGGGAAAATTTTTTGCTGTCTTGCTTTTTTTTTTGGGGGGGGGGGAGGTGGTACCAGGGAACCTTGCACTTGCCATGCAGGCGCTAATGCCACTGTGCTATATCCCTGGCTGTCTTTGGGTTTTCATTCTGTAGGACTCAGTGCATGTAAAATTTTGGTTAAACAGACTTGTTATGGATTTCTTTCTGGGGGTGAGACAAGGTCTCACTATGTGTTATTCCAGGGTGACCTCAAACTCACTGCGACCCTGCTGCCTCATCCTCTAGAGTGCTGTGATTAGAGGTCTGTGCCACCGCGCCCGGCCTAGACTTCTGACCCTAACACGGGTAAGAAAAGATATCACTCCACTTCACAAAGTGGCCAGGAGCAATTCTAGACCTGCCGAGACGTAGCCCTCTGACCACCACCTCGGGGGTCGCAGCGGGACGCAGATCCACCTCAGAGCCGTGTCGGGGCTCGAAGTTTGCCGTCCAGGTCAAGAGGCGATCCTTGGGGCTAACGCTAAGGACCCTGCCATGCCTCTGGCTCCAGCAGCCGCTACCTAGCGAAGTCTGGGCCAGAAGCTGCGGAGGCCCTCGTGTCTGCGACCCTCGGGGCATCCCCACTCTGCGACCCATGCATTCCCCACACCCTACTCGCCTCCCCACAGCCTGGTCCTGACCCATCCTTCCAAGCGGTTGAACTCCCTGTTCTTGGTGCGTCCAGCTCCTGAAAGCCCCAGCTCAGCAGTATTCCCAGGCGCCTCCCCCTCGGCCCACACATCTTCCCGGCACCTCCTCCAGCTTCTTGGCGTTCCCTGTGACAAATACGATCTTCTTCCCCGCCAAGGAGGCCGCCATGGCGACCCGGAATTACACCTCAGAGCCCCAGAAGCCCTTTCTCCGCGAGCCGCCGAGCACTTCCGGTTAGGGGCGGAAGTGGGCGTTTCCGTTTCCAGCCTCTCCTGGGTTGCGGAGATGCTCGGTGCTCAGCTGATGACTGCAGGTTGCCAAGCGGGTAAAGCTCTGCTTGGTCGTCGCGGTGTGCCAGGAATCCTTGTCAGATGCCCAAGGCGCACAGATGAGCAGCTTGAAGCACTCTGTGCTCCCGAATTTTGGGAGACTTCCCGAGACTGAAGTTGGAAGTCCCAAGAGACATCCTGATCGTGGACCGGAAAAAAAACATTTCCACCACCACGCGCCTGGCTCTGCCAGGGTCCTTCGCTGGGACCCGGGTGCCGAGGGAAGCGAAGAACCCGCGAGGCTGGTGATGAGCTGCAGCCCTGTGCCTGGGAGGTTCCCTGTGTGGGCTCCGAGGAGTCTGCTCCGGGGAGCTGCCACTTTTTTCTCCTGACCTCACCTTCAGGCTCACTCCTTGCTGGCCACCTTGTACTTTACCAGGAATTTAAGACTGGCATAGCCTAAAATAAGCCCCGTCTTTCTCCCCCACCCATACCCCCTTTTCCCTGGTTTAGGAACTGAAAATTTCAAGTCTTTACAGCCTCTCAATCCATCATCCTTTTTTTTTTTTTTAATTCTTTCATTTGTATATTTGATACAGTGTCTCACTATGCAGATCGGACTCATGGTGATTCTCCTGTTTTCAGCCTCCCCAGTGCTAGGATTACAGGTTTGTGCCACCATGCCCAGACTCTGTCGCTGGAGCAGCATGCGGGACCAGGGATCTAACCCTAACCCTAGTCCCTGCGCTTGCCAAGGAAGGCGCTTAGACCGCTGAGCAGTCTGGCCAGTCCCATCCCTTTTTTTTTTTTTTCTTTCTTTTTTGAGACAGGGTCTCACTACGCAGTTCAGGCTGGCCTAGAACTCACAGTGATACTCCTTCCTCAGCCTCCTGATTGCTGGGATTACAGGCATGTGCCACCACACCCGTCTCCATCATCCATTTTCCGTGGTCATTGTTTCAGCCAGATCCCTGCATCCTAAACACAGCAAGGCATAGCAAAGTGCCCTATTAGACCCCACCTGTGAGACAGACTTTTTGTTGGAACCCTCAACACCATCTTTTTTCCTCCTCCGTGGACTCAACTCTGTCTCCAGGAACCATGGAAAAATACTTCTTAAATGGCCACTTCCACCCATAGACAACAAATGGTGGAGTTTATGCTCTTCAGAACCTCAGGTCAATGGGCCAAGGAGATAGCTTGCAGCATAAACACCTGCCTGGCAAGCACAAGATCCTGAGTTCAATCCCTGGTACTGAAAAAATAACAACCCTCAGATCATTCCGGTTTCCACAAATTGCAAGAGCCACTATTGTACTTTGGCTTTGCTTTTTGTTATTGACACAGATAATTGGAGCAAAACGAGGCCTGGAAGACATTAGTTACTAGAACAGTCTAAGAAGAGAGAAGACCCATATCACCTGGATGCCTTCCTTGGATCTTAGCCAACTCAAGCACCAACTACCCAAGGAAATTATGCCACACCTACTTTGCTGTTTTTTTTTTTTTTTTTTCAAATATATTTGGTATAGGGTCTCACTATGTAACTCAGACTTGTAGTGATCCTCCTGTTTTCAGCCTCCCCAGCGCTGGAATTACAGGCCCATGCCACCACGTGGCTCAGCGTGGGGGGGGGGCGGCAGCAGGTGGTGCTGGGGATCAAACCCAGGTCCCTGCTTAGTCCACTGAGCTATCTCACAAGACCTAGAAAGAACTCTTGAAGACATTATCAGCAACTGGGATCTTATCTTATTGAAAAGCTTTTACACAATAAGAGCACCACAGAGTAAAGAGACAACCCACAACGTGAGGAAAAAAAATCTGTCAGCTGTTCCTCAAAGGATTACTATGTAGAATACATAAAGAACTTAAAAAAGAAAAGAAAATCAGACCCCACAAATGTAAAGCCCCATTCCAAAAATGATAATCTGAAATGAACAGACACTTTTCAAATGCAGTAGAAATGGCAAATAAATATACAAATAAAATATTCAACAACACTGGTCATTTGAGAGATGCAAATTAAAACAATGCTGAAATTCCATCTCACTCCTCAAAGAATGGTTATTATATACATATAAATCAACCAATAACAAATACTGGCAGGACTCTGGGGAAGAAGGAACCCTGACTGGTGCAACCACTGGAAATTCCTTAAAAAACTAAAACTAGAGGTTTCATTTGACTCAGCTATTCCACTTCTTGGTCTCTTCCTAAAAGAATTAAAAACATTATACCAGTGTTATATAGGTACACACGTTTTTAGCACCACAATTTGTAATAGCTAAATCTTAGAAACAGCCCAAATGCCCATCAATAAAGAAGATGTGTTTTTTGTTTTTTGTTTTTTGTTTTTTTTTTAAACACAATGGAGTACTACTGTGCTATAAAAGAAGGATAAGCTTGAGACATTTCTAGCTAACTGGATATCCGAGACCATACTTTCAAGTGAAATAAATCAGACACTTGTTTTGTCCTTTTTTTTTTTTTTTTTTTTTTTTTTGAGATAGGGTCTTGTGATGCAGTTGAGGCTGGCCTTGAGCTCACTTTGTAGCCCAGCCTGGTATCAAACTCACAGCAATCTTCCTGTCTCAGCCTCACAAACACTGGGATTACAGGCATGTGCCACCATGCCTGGCTAAACACACTTATGCTTAAATATATATTTTCTCTGGTGTGAGAATTAGAAAATAGGAAGAAAAATGCTTAAGTGAGAAGAACAAGGTATGAGGGGGAAAGGAAGGGACAAGAAAAAAAGGAAAAAATGAAAACAAAGCTGCTATAAATAAGGAGGGAAAAAGGAATTGATGGGGAGAGGAACGGGAAACAGAAGAAACAAGATGTATCATGCACAGCTACAAATCCCCATAATGAATTTATTATTATGTATATCTAAAATGTACCAATTAGGGGGGCTGGAGAGATGGCTCAGTGGTCTAAAGCACCTACTTGGAACAAGCTTGCCAAAGCACAGGGACTGCAGTTCGATCCCCCAGCACCACATGCCAGCCTGCCGTGCCCCCTGGTGGGCTGAGCTGGCCACACACACACACACACACACACACACACAA